TGCGTGTGGCTCCAACGATAATGTGTACAGTTGCCCATAGAACCTCTCAATCTCACTCAAAATCTCAGGTGTCCCTGAAACGATGCTGCCACACTCAGTCTTTAGCTTTGACAGTTGGCTCTTTCTGACAGACACAAAGAGCTAACTGTCAAGGCAAAGACTTTGGTTTCTGGCAAAGACTTTGGAGCCCTTTTCCGCTCGATCGCGTCTTCAATACGAGCTGTATTGAAGTTGCGCAAGTCCCGCCGCGTGCATTTGGAGATCTGTCTGTTCAGTTGTCTGCATGCTGTCAAATCTGCTGACGACTGCAGCTTCATCTCTTGTCTAACATCCATGAGATTAAGAGTGTGATCGGAGAGTTTTTGTGTTCTTTTGCGGCGGGTCTTGTAGAAATTAGCTACGACTGAATAGACAGTTTCCACGAGCTTGTCATTCATATTGTCCACTGCATTGCAATCTTCTAGGCACTGAAAACGGTTTTGTAACTCCAGCTGAAAGTTTTCGGGATTTTGGATTAGAGCACGAGGGGACTGAGTGTTGACTTCATTAGACGAGACCTCTCCAACTTAACGTTTAGGTTCAGTGTGCCTCTAACCATTAGGTGATCGCTGCCAGTTTTCACTCTTGCGATCACTGAGATATTTCTGAATAGTTGCCGTCTAGTCTAATAAAGTCAATCTCATTTTTTGTCGAACCGTCGGGGTTCGACCACCGGGGGTCCACTTTCTGTGGGGCCGCTTCTGAAATAAAAGAGTTCATCATAAAGAATCCCTCTTTCTCCATGAAGTCGGCCAGCTGCTGGCCCCTTGGGTTCCGTTGCCTTATCTCAAATTTCCCCATCTTCAGCTCACCGATTTTTCTTGTGCCTAGCTTTGCGTTGAAGTCTCCCATTAACACCGTATAGTGGGTTTTGAAGGAATGCATGGTTTTAGAAATATCCTCATACGTTTCCTCCACCTCCTCATCGGGATGTGCCGACGTTTGTGCGTAAGCCTGTATGACCTTCAGCGAATACCGTTTGGTGATTCTGAGTTACGCAACCCTCGTCGACACACTCAAAATCTTTATAAAGTTGTTAACGAGAGACTTGTGGACGATAAACCCAACACCTCCTTGTGACAGATGGTAATCCTCTCGGTGATTGAACGAGTTGCCGGATTCGAGAATCATCATGTCCTCCCACTCTCTTCGGACTTCGGATAATCCTATAATATTCCAACACAACTTGTCAATCCCTTCTTCAAGTTCCAGGATCTTCTCGTCAGTCCTCAGGGTGCATGCGTTGTAATTTGTCAGGTCGAGTCGTTTTAGGTGGCAACTGAACCTCCACTGGCGATCCTTAGCACCCGCTGCCTTGCCGTTACCATGGTCTGGGGGCCGTCTATTTGCGTCGTTGCTCATGGTATATTGCCATAGTTGCCACGCTTGGAGAGCGGGTTGGTAACTGTAGTTTTTTTGTTACTTTTATCAGGAACATGCTGCTACCCATCTTCTGCCTGCTTCCCTCAGTCGCCTTTTACGAAACCCACGGGAAGATATGGGGTAATGGATATTATTAACCGCCGCTACAAGGTTTTTGTTTATTTTGGTTGATTTGATTCTGTCGTGTTAGAATAAATGCAGATTTTAAATTATTAAAACTTCGAAAAATCCGGATTATCCTGATTTTGATCATAGGAAAATTAAAAAATTCGGATTCCAAAAAAATCCGGATTTTGCAATCTCTATGTGTGGCTTTTTTACCAAAATGTCCAGCCAAGCTCGCTGGTCTGTCCGGCTTTTCGGTTTCAAGACCTGGCAACCCTATCAGCAGAGAAGGAAAACATGTCCAAAAATCTACCTGAGTTTTTTTATAAAACAAGTCACAAATGAGCACACTCGTATATTCGCGATCTTGCGATGCAAAATATATTTTAAAAACAAAGCCGTTCCCCGCGACTTCACCTGCGTGTAGTTTAAGGTTTCAATTTTTTACGCGGAACGCTAATGCTTTTTCTGAAATAGAAGTAGCCTAAGTAACTCCTTATAACATCAGCTATATGCCAGTGAAAGTTTCGCCAAAATCGGTCCAGCCATTTCGGAGACTAGCCGGAACAAACAGACAGATAGACAAAAATATATGTTTTTGTTATAAGTACCGTATTTATTTTCATATGCATTTAGTAAAAATGTCTCATTTTGAAATATATATATATATATAATCGGAATCTCGGAAACGGCTCCAACGATTTTCATAAAATTTTGTGTGCAGGGAGTTTCGGGGGGCAATAAATCGATCTAGCTAGGATTTATTTTTAGAAAATGTCTTTTTTGTCCGTGTTTTTAGGCAATTAAAAACTGATACAATATCGTTAGAATAAGAAGGTAAATTTTGACAGTTTACTAATGATTACAAATAGCTTAATTGGTATATTGGGCGGTCACAAAATCGTAATACCTTGGTACGAGCCCAGACCCGACCGACCGACTTTTTTTAATTTTTTCTTCAAGTTCCTTTCTTTTTTTGAGAAAATCTATTTTTTCGAGCCCTTTTTTTAGTGTTTGTTAAAAACACGAAAATTTAAATTAAACTAATTGCACTCATGATTTTTTATTCAAATAACCAGTTCAGTTTTTTCTATTATGTCGCTACGATCAAAAAATATTATTCGTATTTCATCAGTATGTAATTTGTATTTAAATATAATTTCCAAAACATACGAATAAAAAAAACCGAGCGAAAAATAACGAGCAAAGCTCGGTCAACCGGGTACTATTCTGTTAAATAACATATACTTAACAAAATATAATTTGTAATAAAATATAATTAAAAATATAAATAAAACATATCTAAGGTACATGACGGTCACCTTAAGCTTTGCCGCCCTTTAAAACCAAAACTAGGATGACGGAGACAAAAACACAAAGTCGTTTATACTACTCGTATAACTAATATATTAAGAAAAAAAAATGGCAAACAAGCTTTGGCAATAAATAGTTAGGAACACTTCGAAAAATGAACTTAAAAAAATAACTACACTGCACAATACTAAAATCGACTAAACTATTTACTATAATGTCAACTGTCAAAACGTCTTGGATAATGCATCACACTTTTGACCCTTTATTATTTGATTGAGGGCTATCGCATCATGTAGCCTTCTATGCAAACAAGGCTGTATTTTTGAGTTATTTGAGTTATAAGAAAGTGACCATATTTTTACCGTATGACCATATTACCCTCACGTACTATAGACTGAAACCCTCGGTTGGGGAGACGTAGTAATTTAAACATCTTTTTTTACATACGATTACAATACATTGTATCTACTACAATGCATCTTAAGGGGATATAGTAAGTCAGCTCAAATTATAATTTCGCCCCCACTTCCCCGCGCGTCGTATGCTATGTACCGACTAGTTTGTAATCACTAATAGTATAATTAGATAGGTCGTTAGATACTTATTTCATTAGGTTTATCATATTTATGCCTGTTTCTTAACGCCAACCCAGTCGCTTCTTATTTTTATTACGGTTATTTCCCATTTTAATTTTACGTCGTCCTGTTGTGTAATGTGTATTCTGATCGTAAGCGACACAACTTCTCCCTTCAAAAGCCTAAGCGATACTAACGGGGCGACAGGAATCAAGCTTCAAGACGTCGATAGTTTAGGTAATTTCTTTTTACAGTGAAAATAATGGTATTTAAAAAAAAAGTAAATAACATAAGCACTGCTTTATAGCTAGTTCAATTAGTATGCAAAGTTTCATGATCTTATTTAAAGTATTTTATGAATAACAGCGGTTTATTGTTCAGTTTGGAGGTAACTTTGAATTTTTTTTCTATCGAGAAAATTTTACGGAATCGTGTTTTGGTCTAACATAGTCCTTAACATTAATCCTCAACTTTACCATATATTTATTTCAAAATTAATGCTGCAATACTTTCGGCATAACGTAGGATCTTGCTAAGCCATTTGAGGTTATATTTCCCCTTAAAGGCAAGAGTGAATAATGCTTTTAGCTCAATCAGGGCACTTTACCATCTTCGGATGTCAGTCCCACTTACCTTTAAAGGGATAGTTGTCAACTACTGGCACTTAATAAATAATAGTACTAGCACTAGACTCATATAAAAATTAAAAATACAACCGAGGGTAAGGTTGAAAGGGAAAGAAATTCACGGACAATGCGGACGGTATCGAGTAGCAACCTTTTCACTTCTTTTTTAACCGACTTAAAAAAGGAGAAGGTACTAAATTCGACTGTACGTTTTTTATGTGTGATTTTTATTTGAAAGCTGGTGCTTTTTGTGCAGTATCATATAAATTTAATCAAGATCTGACTAGTAGTTTTTGATAATTGACTTCGACTACATTGATGATGTTCTCATTTTATTTATATTGAAGTCGGTTGTACAAAAGTTTTAATTTAACCACTTGTTATTCAAACTAATATGACAAGCGAACTCGCAGTCCACCTAAAGGTGAAATGGATAACGCAGCACTTGGACACCTGAACGCTACAGATACGCCCTGTCACCTCCTAGGACTAAGGTAGGATGCCTCACAGCCTGTAGTTACACTAGCCTAGGAACACAGCAGTTCAAGTACTGCGGTTTGGCAGTAGAAATATGTTAGCGGATGGTACCAAACCAGATCGACTCCTACCACCTACAAACTTACAGCCTTAAATTTTTATTTACAAGTTTTTTTAAGTTTTTAGGAAAATTTTTGTTGGATACGAGGCATTTCATCTAAGTCCTCGGGAGTAACAACGCATCTGTATTTTGATTTTTAATGGATGATAAATGCAGGTGTCAATCGGCCACAGCATCCACTTACCATCAGGCGAACTGTGTGCCCGGTTTTCACCCTTATTCTAAAAAAAAAAAGTTTAATTTTTTGAACCTTTCGTGTGGACTAATGAACATCATCACAAGCTTCAATTAAAGCCAACTATTTTTTCACTACAAATAATGGTAGGATTTTCCTTTTAATATGTAATCTCGGATGCTTACCATATAAAAATCGATCTCAGTCATGATAATCACGCCATTCTTGTCTCCGGAAAAAAGACGCATCCCGTTCTTCGACCATTCGATCGACGTTATTTTGCTCTTGTGCAAATCACCTATCGTATACCTGTTAGAATAACACGTACATCACATATATTGGTATAAAAGCTAGGGTGTAATAGGTGAATAAAGTAAAGGCGTATGGCATAGTAATACCTATTTCTAATTTTTTTAGTAAACGTTTTATTGATTTGGGTGATAAATGAGCACACAGTCCACCTGATGGTTAGTCGAAGCCGTGGCCCATAGACATCCGCATTTATCCTCAATTAAGGATAAAAATGCAAATGCGCTGCCACCCCTGAGGATTAAGATGGAATGCCTCGATTTCCGTAAAAAAGGGTCTCCGGATCTCTACACTCACCATACGAAACAGCAGTATTAAGCTACTATTTTATGCTAGTATTCTGTGAGGGTGTGGTCCTTCCCCGGTCGAGCCGACCCATTCGTGCTACAACCATAATATAGCTGCTATATCGACCGCGATAAGACCACGCTCTCACAGAATACCAGCGTAAATACTAAATAGTAGCTTAATGCTGCTATGTTTCGTAAGCTGATATAGAGAACCGGAGGCTTAATGGTTAAAAATTTTGATTTTTTATTGAGGGTAAAATGTAGGAGGCTATGGGATACAGCATTTACTTACCATCAAGTGGACTGTGTCCTCGTTTTTCACCCAGACTTCATAAAAATGTCGATAAAAAATAAAGTTAAACAATATCTATGGTTTCGTTCACTTATTATAATATAAAACCTGATTTTTGCCGACGCCAAAAAAAGCCAACCGGTAAGTTTTTTGTTACATATACTTCGAGTAACAATACCAACAAAGTATTGTTGATTGAAGTACATATTTTTTTTATAAAATAAGGATGAAAAACGAGCAGACAGTCCGACAGTGTGGCATAAACATCAACATCTATCCTAGTTGTCAACGCGTTGCCACTCCTGAGGACTAAGATGAAATTCCTCGTTCTCGTTTCCAGTAAAAAGGTTCTCCGGTTCTCCACACTCACCACACGAAACACAATAGCATTGAGCTGCTATTTGACGCTGGTGTTCTGTGAGAGCGAGGTCCTACCCCGGTCGAGCCGAGCCATTCGTGCTGCAACCATAATAGGTATAGCTGCGTCATGGCTCTACCACGTAGAATATATATTTGTGTGTACAAAACACACCCACTATATGTTCTTTAAATCGATATTAACTAAAAGATATTAACTATCCCCCCGGACAAAGCATTCGCCTCAACGTCACGGTACCTTGGCAGATGGATATTTAAATCAAAGCACCAGACGTCTAGCCTTAGACGCTTCTCGTCACCGTAAACATAATGAAGATATAACTATTGGCGTATCTAGTTATTTTCAGAAGCAAGGCTCAGCTTCTGAAATGCGATGGCCGATAAAGCTCACACTCAATATACACAATAAAATTTACTTAGTAGACTTTTCTGTTATTTCCTCGGAAGCAGATTGCCAATTTATTTATTTTAAATTATTTTCACGTAAAACACCTATAATTTGGGGTTGGTCCAATCCAGATCTTGGGTCCAGATCTTGGGCACCAGACGATTCTGGAGTGAGCACGGACCACCCGGCTCACATCTACCTATATACGCTAATAATTATATTTCATCTGTCGGAAACACTAAGACGTTTATGGCATATCTCATGTTCGGCGCTTTTGACAACCATAGAACTGCAACTGTATATTATGACTCTTCTTGCATGATATCAACAAGAATATTAATAAGCAACCCCTGTTTACCAAGTAATGGTACGTACAGACGTGCTCCAACTGTTCACATTTGCAAGCAATAAGCACGCTTAAAGCATGAGACCTGCTATTTGGCACCAGGCCCTCGGCCGAAATGGATGTACAAAGATATAGTGACAGTGCTATCCGTACAGAACTTGATAAAATAATCATATTGCTTGCAAGCGAATGCTGTAAGCATAAAAAGCAGTTTTATCTTTCCCCTAACGCGGACATATCGAGGGATTTTTTACTTTAAATTGACGCAGCAACTGCCGCGAATCGAGATCGATTCGATAAAACGTGCTCATAAGCAATACTGTTCAGTTCAGACGCGGTCGGAGCACGCCCTACTACCCGCGCCTCAGGTAGCATGCTCGAAAATCAAACGTCGGCTGATTTTTAAGCATGTACGTGCTACTAACGAGCACTTGCTCAATAAAAGCATGCTTTCGTGCTAGTAATGAGCATGTATGTCCGTACCTTAGTGAAATTATAAAGCAAAGGGGCCACGTCACTCTCCTTTCTAGTTGCGCCCTCAGCTTTCGCCTGTTTAGACTATAGGGTAAACAGCGTAATTCAAGTTTAAGCTTTACAAAATTTTCAAAGCTCAAGGATTTTCCAAGCAATTTTAAATGCTGTTTTACCACATTGTCGGCGTTAAAAGACAACATTGTGATGAAACAGACATATCTAAGAAATAAAAATATTTCGGAAACACGATGTAAACTTCGCCAACTTCACACACATCAACAACAACCTTCCGAAATTTTGCCTGAAACCGAAGGTTTCTAGCAAGCGCAAAAGTTGAACGAACGGTTATGAATGAGCGAGAGCGCAATGAACGTAGCGACTAGCGAGTAGCGACGCAATTTTTATCATTTCTAGATCAACTTCTAGAGATGATTATTATATAATTGCCTTTATAACATATCCTTTAATTTAAAAGTTTTAAAATAATTTATTAGCATATTATCTTTAGCCAACCTTGAACTGAATTTCTAGGGTTTTCGGCTTCAATTTCGGCCATTGTTCGGACACTATAGCAAACACGTATTGAAGGAGCGCTGCGCGGACGTACATTTCGTTTATATCTATAGGAACCTATCTTACCTCTCAACTTTAGGCTCAACCTTAGGCTTCAAGGTGTCTGGAATGTTATCTGGATGCTCCTTCGGTATCTGGAACACGGTGACCTGGCCTGCGGCATTGCCAGCGCCGACCATGTAGTCCACGGTGTTCACGATTTTCACAAACGTTATGGGGGTCGTTGAAGCCTGGATCAAGAAAAATATTTTATTAGGTACCTATTTATTACTTTTCCAACTCAATCTAATAATAAAAATGAATTTTCTAGTTTAAAAAACCTGTAAACGTATTATCATTTAATCCTAAAAGTTATCCATTAACTAAATTATAACCTGACCTGACTAAATATTAAAGTAAAACAATTAAACTATCTTATTCATACGACCGTTATTTACAATTTGTTTATGTTGTATTAAGTATATCCTATAAATAACATTTAATCTGAAAATCATTATCTCTGCTTGGTATTGGTATTACACCATTTCTAAGTAAATAAATTTTAGATTATTATGTATTGAAGTTTAGATATTTTATTTACTTCAATATTGTGTCGGCAATGATATAAAAAAAATATAAAAAGTCTCCCCGGCGGGGAATCGAACCCCGGTCTCCCGCGTGACAGGCGGGGATACTGACCACTATACTACCGAGGACTGTACACTACTTGCTGAAATATTGCTTTATATCAATAAAAAGGGCAACACTTTAAAAAATAACACATAATTTGTACTTTTAGATTACTTAAGATATATAAACATTACTTTGATATAAGTACAATATTAAAATTACGGCTCGCTAGGATTAAACAAATTACATGTCTTCACTCTACAACTCGGTTGTTTTTTTTTTAAGATAGACCCAACATGACTATAATTTATCCAGTGAAACAAAAATATCCTGGCAACAACAAAAGAAAAAAAATGCACACCTAGTTCGCGAAATGAAAGAGGCGTCACTGTCGAACTGTCAAGGTCATACGACTCGTCAAATCGGTTTTATTATTTCCTTTGATTTTTTTTAAAGTAGATGCTATTATTTTTAAGGTTTTGTTTTTTGTCCTTGTAAAATGACCTTGAAATATTTAAGTTTCTTAAATATGCAAATTTTCCCTCACGTTTTTCTTTACCTCCGAGTAGATGGTATTTCAGTGGTGGTGGAGAATCGGACTGATTGAGTGAATGTTGGAATTTCTTTAAGTGAGCTGAGGGAACCCGGAAACCCTAAACTACCACGGCCATAGAAATCTGAATAATATATTATTTAGATTTTTGTGTCCACGGCCCATGACGCTTTTATGTTGTGGACATGTGGATTCTTGACGTTCAAAAGAGCTTTAAAAAGCCTAAAAATAAACAAAAATATTTTGACTTTGACACAGACACACTCATATCATGTAAAGGTGCAACAAATATTTGTTTAAATTGCAAGGCGGGAGGACTTTTAAAGATTTATGGCTAAATACTCAAACACCACGCCACACTTCCCAAAACGCCACAATAATTTTAAGATGTAATTAAGTCTTATGAACTTATGATGTCACAGACACTTTGATTTAGAGTGATAGTACGTAGTATACTATTATTTATTCTGTGGTGATAGAGACCTCAGCACGAGACTTCTTAAAACGGAGGTGTTCGTCTCAGCTATGTCATATTAACCATGGCTACCTCCAAATTAAAATTGTTAATTTTTGTTCCGATCTACGCAGTATGAACTTATAGTATCTTGAACTCTTGCAGTTGAATGCTTGAGTTACGATTCCAGGCAGATGATAGCACCCAGCTATCTTCTCTATTGAAATTAGGAGGTTTTTGATTTCACTAGACTCGCGAATCATCATTGGAAAGATTCGGTGTTCCGAGGATTTGTAGGCTATCTAATCTGATGTAGTGACGGGGGCGATCCTGTACGTGTTCACAGACTGTAGACTTACCGGAGCGTCGATTCTTTACATCAGCTAGGTATGTGTTCTTTAATGCGGATTTTTATTGATCATTTTCGTATTTGGGCATAATGCAAATTAATCCTTCATAAAACCCTATAACGTATGAGGTCTATGTCAGTTAGTGTACTTAACGGGCTGATAACGAAGAAGAATAAAAATAACTATAAAGTTATAGTATGCTCTCTGCAACAGACCGTCTACTGCTGGAAACGTTCTCTTCCCTTCTATTGCCGGAACAGGATTAGAACTGGAGCTAGGATTTTCTCCTGTATCGTGAGGGCAGTTTATCCAGAGTCCAGACCCGGAACAATTATATGTAAGCCATACAAATACTTGTTCCGAGCAGAATTCGAACCCGCGGCCCTTAGCGCTGCAACTGATCGCTAAGTCAATGCGCCACGAACCCGTCATATTGCTGCGATTCTTTCACTCACGTGGCGGGCAGATTGTAGAATGCAGAACCAGACGTCTCGTAACTTTCAAGAGGTTACCATCACCGGTCTGGGTATTTTCTGGTGTATAAAATTGATATATTTCTGCCGCCAAATACTCCTCAAGGATACAGGCAGCCAGTATAAATACATAGCTGTTTCGTTGGTTTGGTGGTTGTATTAGAGCAATCGCTCATCATGAGGTCATGGGTTCGAATCCCGGGTCAGGCAAAAAAATCAATTATTGAGTTTTTCCGTCAAGAAATTCTCAATAGCTGCCCCGAGTCAGGAAATTGGCTGTGGCTTACCCCCGTGCCTCGGAAAGCACGTAAAGCCGTTGGTCCGGCGCCTGATCCCTCTCCAGTCGTGTCGGTTTACCGTCTCATTGGATTATGAGAGTGAGGGAATAGAGAGTGCACCTGTGCTTGCGCATACACTTGGGCACTATAATCCTGTCCTGCGCCGATGGCTAGTCTCCGTTGAGGCTGGCCGCCGTGACCGAAATTCGGTCTGGAGGACATTATTATTATTATATAAATACATGCTGTGAGGCATTCCACATTAATCTTTAGAGGTGACAACGTATGGACTACAGTATCCACTTACTATCAGATTTGTCTCTTGTTTCTTGTTAGGTAATATCTTCTATGCAATTACCATAGTCGTATCTCACAATACCAACACGACGAAAAGAGGTGATGTATTATAATATAATGTTTGGTATTATATAATGTTTACTCTAGTAACATACACAGTATTAATTATTGAGGTATTTTTTAACATAACACATTTTTTATATTTTTACATTGCCTTTTGATTCCGAACTACGTTCAAAATTTCGGGGTTATTCCGTTTATCCACCCTAAGAAAACCACCCCAGGGTGGATACTCTGAAACGCAACACGCATTTCAGAGTTTTGTTTACGGGGTCTACTCGGACTGGTTTGACATCCATAAAAGTGTCAGACAGGGCTGTGTAGCTTCCCCGTGGCTGTTCAACCTATTTATGGACAGTTGTTTGCAAAATTTGAAAGTTGAAGAATGCGGATTAAGAATGGGTGAGTTAACCGTCAAATGCCTTTTGTACGCCGATGATCAAGTTATTCTTGCGTCGTCGGCGGCCGAGTTGCAAATGATGGTTACATTAATGAACGGATCATTAAAAGAAAGGGGTATGAAAGTGAACGCAAGTAAGACGAAGGTTATGGTTTTTGAAAGAGAAGAAAGTAAAACGATTTGTGAAATAAGAATAGAAGGGGAGTTGATCGAGCAAGTAGATATTAGAGTGAGTTTGTATATTTGGGCTGCGTATTTAGCAGGGATGGGAGATATGATAAGGATATAGAACGACGAGTGAATGCGGGAAATAGAGTAAATGGGGCCTTGCACTCTATTGTGAAGAGTCAAAATGTGTCGAAAAAGGCACGTATGGCAATTCACAATGCTGTGTTGGTCCCTACTTTAACGTATGGTAGTGAAAGTTGGGTGTGGCAGAAGAATCACGAGAGTAGAATAAACGCAGTAGAAATGCGGTCGTTAAGGAGTATGTTAGGGCTGAATCTGAATGACAGGGTAAGAAATTGTGTAATAAGAGAAGAGTGTGGTTTGCAAGATGATGTTGTGACCAGGATTAAGAAAGAAATGCTTCGGTGGTTTGGTCATGTGGAAAGAATGAATGAGGAAAGAGTGACAAAGAAAATTTATGGTGCAGAAGTGAATGGCAGAGTCGGAAAGGGACGTCCTAGGCAAAAATTTATCGACCAAATTGGCGATTTATTGGAAACGGGCCAAATTAGGAGTACCCTTAACCGACGAGCATGTATGCGTAGGTGTATGGATGTGAAGGAGGCGAGAGAGGTGTGTCAGGATCGTGCCAAATGGAAATCTGTAGTCTCTGCCTACCCCTCTGGGTGACAGGCGTGAGTGTTTATGGATTATGGATGTTTATCCACCCTAGACGGAAGTGGATAATCGGATTTAATTCGGATTCACTTTTTGATTGTTGTTCCGCCTTTCCATCCTTAGTACAGTTCAACAGAAAATATATTCATACTTTCACATATTATTGATTAATTTTTATTAACCACAAACTTAAACAAAAATCATATTACGTATTTCATTTAAACCAAATTAAACTTCATTGTTTTAAATGTTTATTATAAAAAATTCATAAATTCTGCAATAAGTCCAGGAAATGATGAACAATAATTTCATTATTAAGGGAGACGTTATTTAATATCCTCTACAAATTCGACTCTCAATAAAAGCATCTTATTAAGTTTGTGCAATATAAGACATTTAAAAATTTGTTAAGTACCGTACTATTTCTAATACTGTGTTTATATAATAAAATATATATTTATTTCTTTTAAATACCTACTTCAATAAAATACAATTGAAATCAATTGCAGTAAAACATTTTTTTCATCATAAGATAAAATTATGTCACATCGATTGATATGTAATTAAACAATTGAAAGTATTTCGGTTTTGACCTTTAAACAAGAAGTATCTTTGTATTTTTACAAGTATGCTAACGTTTACTAAGTAATCTACGGCCAGTTTCCATAATGTTTTTATAAACGACTGTACACAGCCGAGGAGGAAAATCGGAAAAAATAATATACGTATTCCGATTAAATACCTCGTCTAGAGTGAGTAAACGGACACACAATTCTGAGTGCGCACCCTACCCTAAGCGATCTACCCTAGGGATAAAATAATATACGTATTCCGGTTATCTGTCTCGTCTGGGGTGGATAAACTGATACGCAATTTCGAGTGCATGCCCTACCTTAAGCGATCCACCCTA